TTTGCGTGATGCACCCGAAACTTTCACGTATTCCCGAATTTGGTACATTATCCCCGATTATATTATTCATCACGCATCTCTTATTCTGGGGATTTTACGTTTTACTTTTTCCAAGAAATTTAGGAATGAGTACGCGCCGCTTTGACCGTCGAGTAGTCGCCGAGCGGCGTTTTAGTCTATGTCAGTTGTGCCGGCGTCGTGCGCGCGCCTCCGGCCACCCTGCATCTCGTATATTTTCCCGTGTCGTGTGGAGAGACGATGCGACTTCTGGAGAGCTGGCGGAATTGCAGTGACGAGCCCGTCAGCGTCGAACCTCCGATAAGTAGATGAGCCGAGCAGCTACGACTCGATCGAAGTATTTCATTGCGGGTGTAACATCCTTATCGGTGCCTAGAAGTGTAGCTACATTGGTCTCTTCTACTCCCTTGACACATTAAAAGAATAAATTTGAGTTATTATGGGTTAAGACGTCACAAAGATTTGCCTTCTCGAGAACTAACAGTCGCTTGTTGAAATTTCGCCAGCTGAGTTCAGATCGCTTCGCTCGAGAACCACCTTCGTAGGTCAAAGGTTTAAATTTAACTAATTCACGAGATTTGCATGATCTTAAAAATCAATGATAATCAGATCTTTACGTCGATTATTCATTATTGCGTATATCATCGTAGAAAAATGTTTTCGATGAAGAGAGCCCGTGGTACTTGTTAATCAGCCGGTTCGGGATTTTCAAAGGCGTTGACTTTCTCGTGCCGTTGCGTGTAGTTTACCTCGTCGAAATTGCGAAAACGCATTCGCACTCGCAGCACAATTTTATCAATAACGTTTTCCAAAATAATCCATCGCGGAAAACGGCGTCGTCGACACGATGACGAGGCAGACGGGGCTTGGTCCAGCTGGCGGAGGACGCGAGCGCATGGAATGGGAACGGGGGGGGGGGCCCACTTCACGTGCCCGTCACGGCCCAGGTAGCGGGGACGCCACGTGGTGGTGTCCCTACGCCGGGGCCCCGCACGTGTCGCGATCGCCGAGCGTCTGAACGTCTGACCGCGGGGATCGCCGAGCGCCCGGACGTCGTCCCTCCCCAAACGTCTCCTTCTTCGTCGCCTCTTTTGGACTACAGCGCGACACGTGGCGCAAACAGAGAGGCTGGAGTAAAGGGTAGGGCATACCCTTTCTCTTTATTTTTCTTTTTTCTTTTTTTTTTCTTTTTGGTCTTCTTTTGGTACTAGCATGTGAAAAACGGGCCCGGTACCCCTTTTAAGAAACCGACTATTCCAGTTCATCGTGCCATGTGCGGTCAATCTTCAAAATCGAATTTCCTTTCATCGGGCATGATGAACGATGCCCTACAACAATCAGGAATAATCGATTTCAGGGTGGGTCAATTCCTATCCTCAATTTGAAAATTGAACCCAATAGATTAGATCAGGACTGACTGTTTTCATTTTTATTTTTTATTTTGTTTTCTCGAATACATGCATGGATTCGTGTGAAACAGATGGTTGGGGAATCCTAATAATCAAATTATCCGACTCGCCTTGCCTTCAAGCATATTACTTGTTGCAAGTTAAATAAAATCAGCACTCTTAGTCTCCAAGGCTCGAAATTTCTGGACTGCAAGCTAATTGAAACCTGCACTCTTGGCCTCATAATCTCCTACTTTGTACAAAGTCTAACATTAAACATCACCCTGAGGGAGATGAAGTCGCTTAGAGCCCTAAATTTTATTTTAAGGCGGTCAGGTCCGACGGTCCGATTCGATACAGTTCCGCTCAAGAAATTGGGAATCACACCAGTTTCACCACTACCAACGAGCACTACTTAACAACATCCACATTTCAAAGTGTATCTATAGACGTAAAATGTCAAGTTACTTATCAATGCAGACCCGGCTTGATCGAGCCAAACCTGTTGCTCAGGCCCATCCAAAAAAAGTTAAGTACGAAATTCTCGAGGCAAGTCGCCACATGCCCAATCAGGTCTGATTGTCATAGCAACTTTTATAATTAAGCTGCTTTGCTCGAGCTTGTCCGAAAGTGTTCTCCAGATCTATGTGGTTTGGGAAAGCTCATGAGCTGCCAGTCCCAGTTTACTTGTAAAGGTCACTAATTATATTTCAAAGAAAGTCGTCATATTAACAAATATACCGGGGGCACTTACAAGCATAATTTTTTTTGTTCGAATGGTGGTGCAGTCTAATAGAATTCTTTTGTACCTCTGAAACATTATTGTTACTATGAATGTTACAAACCAATTTTGTTTTGGTTGCTTTGACAAGTGCATTGATACATGAACACTCAGCCACACGCAAAAGGTCGATGTGATGAAGAAAGTCTAAGACATGCAAACCCAATACGTGTAGGTGAAACAATTTTTCAAACCCGTTCCGTATATAATCAAACTCAAGTGTTCTGACTCTGATACTTACTTGAAATCAAGTGTGTAACTATTGTTTTATTTTTTGTATTTTCTTCTGAATTAAATTCTTGGTTTAAGAGCGTTCTGTTTGGTTCAAACTATTTTTCTAGGACAAGAAGTTCGGGATTGGTATTTTGATTTTCAACCATGGATGAATAAATGGGTGAATAATTCAAAGAATGTAATGTTTCTGGATTCTAATCGGTTTGTTCTGGTTAATAAACAGGTCCAGAAATTCCAGATATGTTGCAAAGGCCGCTAGTACTAGCAACAACTTCTGGGTTGTTAATTGAAGTGGTTTGAATATTGGAAGTAGTTTCTGGATTGGAGGAGCTACTACTGTTAGGAAGGGTGATTACAGGAGGAATGTTAGGATAGAGATGAACCGAGCTCCTCGAAGAGGTTGAATTGAAAGAGGAAGAAGTTGATCTTAAGTCAAATGATCTTCTAGAAAACTGGATAGGGACGTTTAGTTTCAAATATGGGTTTCGACTCCCACACTCTACAAAGATGTATGGTAAAAGTCCAAGAGTGAGTTAAGAGTTAAAATAGGATAGACAAAAAAAAAAAGGCTTGACAACCCTAAATGAATTTAATTAAATTTTTGTATATGTTTTTTGAGTAAAGCCCAATTTAGAAGTTGAACCATTTCATAAGAATTTGAAAAAGGAACATCTCTTTCTTCTGTTTGGATTACATAATCCGATTAAGAGAAGAGTTTGTATATTGACCGCCGATAAATTCGATTAAGTCGAACATTAGGAATTTCTCAGTTTTCGATTGATTTTGTTGAAATCTTCGATGTTTATCTATTCTCAATGGATAGCTCATCGATCAAAAGACATTTGTGACATCAAACTAGAAGAAGATGTTAAGCCTTCTTAATTGCCAAGCTAATCTCATAATGCCAGTCGTTTTGTCTTTTGCCAACCGTGTTTGTCTACCTCGGAATGTCTATTTTGTTCTCGGTAAGAAGAGAAAGGAAATAAGATCGGATTGCACATAGTTACAAACATAATTAGTTAACTAATTAAGAATTACCCAAGAGAAAAAATCCATATAAATAGATTCGCGATGGCATCATTCAAGGGATGAAAAAGCTTCATAAAGGGGCATCTAGCTCGAGCCGGGTGATCCGGTAGATGAACGCGGTGCACCAATCAAGCTCCCCACCGAAACTTCCTCGTTCCGATGAACCACCCCTCTCAAACGATATTTGTTTAATCGCTGTTTTAAACGATTAAAATAACATCTAATCATAACGAGTCCCATTATTGACGATTATCTTGTTCCTAATCCCTCCCCTCCTCTTTCATTAAGTAAAGAAACGACGACGATTCATTGGCTTCGGGTGGAAGCAACATTGATTTTCCTTTTTCTTTTTAGCAAGGTTTTTAGCTTATTGGCTAGCCATCTCATCCGTCCAGTTACGAGGATTCCGCTTGGCTTTGTCTTATTTCGTGACGATTGAGGAAAACCGTGGACCGCAACGTGGTTTCCTTATTCTCACCAGTACATTCATTATGATCTTTCGGACTGCTCCGAACCCATATTTACCTAAATAAAAAAAATATTAAAAAGAAAAGCAAAGGAAAAGGAAAAATACATAAAATAGAAAATTCGAAGAATTATTAAAATATTGCTAAAAATTGTTTACGTCCGGCTTCTATGTCAACAATTTTCGATCAAAATTGACCGAATGGATTCAATTGGCAAAATGTAAAAATATTTATGAATAAATTAGCAAAATCGGAAGGTTTAGTATTGAATCGGTACAAATACAATAGGTTCGGGACCTTTTTGGTAATTTCTCCTTCCAAATACGAGATGTCGTGCCCTACGACTTTCTAATAACCAGGGGAATCGATCTAAATTTCACCATCATCGGCGATGAACTTCACGCGCGGCGGTGATTTTTTTTTCTAATCCAAGTCGCGTCTGTCGCCACTGATTTGCACATTAGTCAATCATCAGAAGCAGCATAGCTACTTTAAATCAAACGACCGGGGAAATAATTTGTGTGCGAGCTTGCGGAGCTTTATGCAGCAAAGGTTATATTTTATTCAATTCAATTATTGATCGAAAGCAATCAATTAGGCGGGTCTTTCCAACCTCGATCCCATACGTATTATAATGGGCTTCTTGCCTAAACATTCCATATATTTAATCATTCCTACCATACACATATATTACATTCAAGCGGAACAAAATATGGGTCCTCCTCCAGCGCACCCCGCGGGGGTCACCCCCCACCCCTTTTTCTTTCTTTCTTTTGCTTTTCCGGGTTTCGGATGGGGCCCCGGCCCGGCCCGGCCCAATGATATCGCGGGTCTCCGGAGATCCGACGTGGCGTATTCGGTACCCGACCCGAAGGATGGGGGAGAGAGAGAGAGAGAGGGGAACCACCCTCCCTTATCCACACACACGCGCACACACTCTCGCTACAGCCCACGCAAGACCCAACCCTTTATTAAAGCACACCCCAACCTTCCCTTTTCCAAACCCAAAACCAGCACACCCTTCATTTCTCTCTCGCTCTCGCACTCTTTCAAATCATATATCGAAAACAATACCCGGAAAAACACAGAGAAAGAGTGAGAAGATTTAGAGAGGGAGGGAGGGAGAGAGAGAGATCTGCGACTGTTCGATGGCCACGAGCAAGAGCTACTTCGCCAACCGGGCGAGCTACCGCTTCTTCTCCAACGACCCCGCCGCCGCCGCCGCCGCCGCCGCCCCCCACGCCTCCACCGCCTTCGAGCTCGACGAGTCCGACGTCATCTACGGCTCCCACTCGCCGGAGCTGCGCAGGCCCGTCCGGACCTCGGACTCCTCCTCCTCCTCCTCCTCCTCCTCCAAGAGGTCGTCCGCCGCCGCCTCCAAAAGGGGCTCCGACCCCGGGGACCGGCGGGGCTCGGCGCCGTCGTCGTCGCTGCCGGTCAACATCCCGGACTGGTCGAAGATCCTGAGGGGGGAGTACCGGGAGAACCGGCGGCGGGACAGCCTCGGCGACAGCTACTACTCCGACGACGACGAGGACGCGGCGTGCGGGGGCTGGGGAGGGGGAGGCAGGGGGGGCGGCGTTGGGGAGGACGGCGCCGCCCGGGTGCCGCCGCACGAGTTCCTGGCGCGGCAGATGGCGAGGACGAGGATCGCGTCGTCGGTGCACGAGGGGATCGGGAGGACCCTGAAGGGGAGGGATCTGAGCAGGGTGCGGAACGCCATCTGGGAGAAGACGGGGTTCGAGGACTGAGGACACGGAGGGCGGGTGGGTGCTGCAAGTTTTCGCTGTTTTCTGAGCAACTGCGGAGGAATTTATTACAGAATATTCGTTTTAGGTAAAAATGAAAAGTTCTAATCATCGGATGGCGCCACAAATTTTTGTTTTTTTGTTTTGTTTTTGTCTTTCTTGATCACTTCTTCGAGGGGGTTCTCTTCTTTTAACCCCAAATTTTGTTTTCTCTTTTTCTTTTTTGGGTTCCTTCCTTTCCTTTTTTTGCGGTCTTGACTCTTGAGGTGGCTTTCTCTTTTTTGTACTGCAATGGAGTTTCTATGTTGATTTTTATCTCTCGATCCACCCTCCCCACTCGCCGATTTTGCTTCTTCTTTCCCTGCGCGACCCTTTCGGTTCTTAACTTTCTACGTGGAAACGCGACAGAGGCGAGAGAGACCGAGATTGATCGAGACCCTTTTGAAAATCGATGGCTTTAGCGTGTTAAAGTACCGTGTGATCTCGCGGTGGGCATCTCTGATTTGACCTTTAAATTTAACCCTTTTTCTTTTTGCCCCTTTTCGACGAGCTCGAAGTTCTTTGGGGGGTTTCGTAGCAACCACGCGTCTCTCTGCCGTCGGGGACGAGGAAGGACGCGAGATGCGATGCCTGTGGGCACCGTGGAGATTTTGATTTCTGAAACGTCGTTTGCTTGTTTAGTGGATAAGCCAGGCCTTGTTAGCCCTCGTAATCTTTTATCCATTAACTAAATCGATTCTATTTGGGTTTTCCTTATCCATTGGAAAACGGGCTGATGATGTTTCCTCGGATCGAGCAAATGAAATCTCAATCATTATCCCAATCCCCGCCATGCCTCCCCAACAGCTTGCGAAAAATCCTTAGTTTAATCAGCTCCGTTCGGACAAAATCGGGTTCTTGTTTTACTTGCAGCCTTGCAGCATTCGCGAAGGTGTAGTAGTTCGCGCGGCTGAGGGTTTGGTTCGTCCAGACGCGATTCGTACTAGGGAAAAAGAAATCGCTCGACGCTAATTTCTCCTGCGCGAAACTTCATCATTGACCGACGAGGGGATTCGTTTTACTTTTTTTCGGGGGTTCGCGACCTTATGCCGTGAACGGGAGGGCAACATGGTCATTAATCGGCGTCGCTTTTAGGGGAAAATGACCAGACGGTGGCGGAGGAGAAGGAGGTACCACCACCACCCACCTCTCGGGGGGAAAGAATACGATTTACGAAGCAGCACCGAAGGCACAGCTGCGACGGCCGACACCGGAGGAGAGAGGCGGACCGTCGGATCGGGGGCGGAGGGTGGGGCCGGCGACGTGTACGGGTTAGCTGACCGCATTATGATCTCGCCTTTTTATTGGGTCGGCGACCTGGTGGGGGGGTTCGCCGTTTTGCGGAGCGCAGGGGGTGTGGGGGGTGTCGTTTTGCGGCTTTCTTGTCGCGCTCGGAGGTTTTTTATTGCGCCGCGCAGCAGTAAATACGTACTTGTCTGACAGAGTTGTTTTTGTCGGTCGGGTATCGTCGCACGCAGTGCGCACACAATCGCGCGAATTTTTACGGGCGGGGCTGATTTCGTACCAACGAAAGAAATCACGAAAGGGGGGGCAACGCTCGTCTCGTCCGGGGCCACAGTTCCTTCGACGTTCCATCATTGGGGTCATTGCCATGCCAGTGCATTCGCTTGTTGCAGATGCTCCGTGTGACCGGAAATATATATATATAATAAAGGCGGAGAGAATATATTCATCTTTCTTTTGCTTCGGCCTGATTGCAGGAGACGTTGCGTGGATAACAAGAGCGATCCGTGGGGTGAGGCAAAAAACAATTGGACATCGTATTGGGTTTTGATTGTGTTACCGGGTTTTGTCTATGGTACGTGCAGGGAAGCATACGACGTAGTGATTGAGCGGATCTTCCGGGCGAATGGAATGCGGGTAGCCGAGAGTTATCTGGGGTGAAAAGACGGTTCGAGGACGATGCATCTAGCTCGCTACTTTTAGAAGGTTTTAATGGTTCGCGTCCATCAAAATAGCTCGGGCAATTTCTCTTTCGCTTATATTATAACCTGTTGTAGGACATTATAACACAAAGACAGAACCGAAATGACAAATAGCGAGCACTGATGAAGGGAGTACTATGGGCCCGTTTGGTTCGGCTTTGGGGGAATGCAAATACCTTTGGGCTAAAGGGGTTTTTCGAAATGCAAGTGGCGTTTGGTAAGTGTTTTATAAAATCAACTTGGGCTAAAGGACCTTTGGGCTATTTTTTTTTTTTTTTTAAAACTCCAGTGGAGCTACATCGCCGGCCACCGCCTCCGGCCAGATCTGGTCGCCGGCCAACCGCCGACGGCCAAATCTGGTCGCCGGCGACCACCGCCTGGGGTCGCGCGACCCCGGCGACCGTCGCCTGGGGTCGCCGGACCTCGGGCGGACGCCCGGGTCGCGCAACCCAAAGCGGCGTTGCCCGGGTAGCGAGACCCAGGCGACGCCCGAGGTCCCGGCAACCCCAAAGGCGGCGGTCGCCGGGTCGCGCGACCCTCGGGCGACCACCGCCTCGGGGGTCGCGCGACCTCTGCGACCGCCGCTCTGGGGGTCGCGCAACCCCCGGGCGGTGGTCGCCGGAGTCGGGCTAGCCCTCAGGCGGCGGCGGCCGGCTGCCGGACGTCGGTTTGGGGAAAATGAACAGTGTCGATGAATAGTGCAAGTTGCATTCCGAAAATGCAACTTCCCAAAGCACCTTCAGAGGTGCATTGGCCAAAGGTCCCTTGGCCAGCATTCCAAATGCAATTGCATTTCCCCAAAGTGAGTAAAAAAAATTGCCAAACGCCATTTGCATTTGGCCAAGGGACTTTAGAGGCCAAATGAGCATTGGGAATGCTGAACCAAACGGGGCCTATATTTGTCACAGACTTATGGGGGACAGTAGCGAGCTATAACGGACGAGTACTGTTGTTTGTCGCGACTCTATCGTCCAAAGATGAACCGCATTTGCTGTACTGTGTACACATACTTTGCCCCTGAAGGAAGCCCAACATGATGCGGGCTCGTTTGGGCTCAACTCAGCCTTGCGCAAACTCCGACCTTCGGTCTTGTGCTCCAAGGCTCTTCGAACTCACCCGGGGAGAGCCACATCTGGGTAACTTCTTCAATCTTAGTGTTTGATTAACTGATTGATGCGCGACTGTCGACGATGGTTATTCGGTTTGCTCCCGCAATTTCTATTCACTTCAGTGATCTACTTTAGCATTACCACAAAAGATAGTCTCTAGTTTAGCCCACGAGAGAGATTGACATCATTGGCATATGGATTGATCTCTTTGTTGCATGTCGCCGTCCAAAAGGTCCTTAATTTGGCACTTACAACGCAAAACGATGCCATGAATTAGGGGCGTGCATCGTTCCGGTCTAACCTGAACTGGATCAAACCAGCCAATTATGGGTAATTCCTAGTTCCAAAAATTTGGAATCGGAAATAATCGGTTCGGATTCCAATTCCACATAAGGAACCCGACTGATGGACCGACCCATATTACTTTATTTGTTAATTTTTTGATTCGGAAGCAAACCCTAAATTAATCAATTACATTTCAATTTTCACTTAAATTGAGTAACGTCTTCCATAAAATAAATATAGAAGCAAACCCTAAACATTTCTTCATAATATTGTTTATCCATATATAGACATTCTTTTATTATTTAATACGTACCAATATGACACCATGTAATAAAGTTATGACTACAAAATTCAGTAGAAAATCAGTTGGTCATCAATTAGCGCTACACCCTCTATCATGTAAACATTTACTCAACAAATAAACCGAAAATAGTGCTCTTGTTTTTCTTTTAATGTTGGGATATTCCCATTTGTAAGGAATAGAAGAAACCAAAAAAAACAGAGACGAAAATTCGGTTCTAGGACCGACCTTTGATCGGCCCAAATCGATCAGTCCGGTTCCCGATTCCACAAGCGGGGAATCGACCCAAGCCTATAACCGATCACCCTTACCATGCATGACTATTGGGTTACATCTCGTCGTCCATGTATAATCCCGGTAGGTCCCTTGCCTCGCTCCCTTCACTTTTGTCGACAATTTTTGAACTTCGAGCCCAACTCCACGCCCGAGTCACAGGTCGCCATAGGACGGCCGGACGCCATGTTTCATCCGATGACGCGACTCGTGACGCTCCCCTCGAAAACTTTTCTCGTAAAGGGAGGCTGCTTTTTCTCCGGGCCCGCCGCGTGATAATAATAGGGACCCAATCAAGAAACCACAACCACAATCAATACCTATAAATATAATTACCACCTCCTCGCATAATTCCAAATAGAGGGGAAAAAAAAAAAGCATGGCCAGCCGGTTGGGCCCAGAATCTCCGGTCCGATCTATTTTGGACCGTTCCATTTGGGCTCTTCCTCTCGACCCGGAATCCCCGGGCCGGGACCCGAACCCGAAACGATCAATCCGGATCCTCCCCCCACCACCAACTGGTCTTCGCTTCGCCTTGCCAGGTTTCGGTTGCAGAAGCCAACCGAGCCAAAAAAGGGGAGACTGGTAGGAGGAGGAGGAGGAGGGAGAAGGAAACCCCCCCAAAAAGGCGCAAATTCTCCATCAAATGACCTCGAAACCCTACCGCCATTCCTCTCCCTCCTCGCGATCGATCACATCGGAAGCCGAAATCGAAGGCCCGGACGCTGCTGATATCCCTCGGGACATCTCCTGAAGCAAGGGAGGGGCGGGTTTCGCCACTCTACTCCCCGCCCATGTCCTCCTCCGACGACGACGGCGGCGGCGGCGTCGGCGGCGGTCACGCCTTCTCTGGCGCGAATTCGGAGCCGGTCCTCGGTTCGAAGCCGATCGAGGACGGACTCTCGGAGCTCCGCGTGACCGACCTCGCGAACGGCTCGGCGGAGGAGGACGGCGGCGCCGGCGCCGGCGCGGCCGGGGGTTCCGGCGACGGGGAGGGGATTGCCGCTGCGGAGGAGGAGGCCGATGAAGTCGGGGGCGGAGGCTCGGTGAGCGCGAGGGTGGGGGGGACGGAGATTGAGGAGATCGGAGAGGCGAGGGTCGTGTGGAGGAGCAATTCGGAGGGGGAAGTGGAGGCGGCGCAGGGGAGCCCGAGCAGCA